ATATTTTATATTATATGTAAAATAAAAACTGCAAAATTTGCATTTAGTTTGTGTTTCCTGTTCTTGTTTTATTTTAGCGCGTGTTTTTGTCAACGTTTGCACAAGTTAATATAAATTACAAAAGCGAAAAAAAAAACAAACAAATTATGTAAATGTAAAACAAAACAAATATTTCGTAAATTGTTGTAAAAGTATTTGTTTATTTATCAGTTTTTGTGTCTAGCCACAATATTTGCGCGTAAAACTGTTAAACGTTTCGATTTGCTGTCGATTTGGTTTTTGTTTTTGGGCCCGATTGAAAGACGTGCGCCCCAACTGATGGTCGAATGCCGACTGAATTTTGAAAACCAAAGTTCTCGCTTAGCTAGCCAAACGCACAGAGAGATGGAGAGTGAGAGAGAGAGAGAGAGTGTGTGTGTGTGTGTGCGAGTGGGGGAGAGAGATGGCGATGGGCTGTGCGAAAGAGAGGCCGTGCGACAGTTTGAGGAGAGCGAGAACTTTACAAATGTTTTGAGAATTCGTTTTTTGTTGTTGCTACCGCTGCTGCTGCTGCTGCTGCTGCTGTTGTTGTTGTTGTTGTTGTTGCTGCTGCTGTTGTTGACTTGTTGCTTCGTGTTTAAGGACTAGCCCGCCTTTTGGCCTAAAAGCATTTTGGCGAGCATTTGAAGTGAGCCGTTAAAAAATATAAATTTCATTTTAATAAGTTAACTGCAACCAAAAGAGAGAGAGAGAGAGGGAGAGAGAAGGAGGAGATAGAGAGACCCTGTGTGTGTGTGAGAGTATGAAGGAACCTGCTGCAGTCGCTGCTGCAGTTGCAATTGCTGCTGTTGTTGTTGTTGCTAGTTTGCGACTTGCTGAACAGCTGATGTAGCCCATGGCTTTTAAGCTCTTTTCTTTCTTAAAGTTAGTGTTGCATATTAAATACCCTATAGTTAGCAATGCAGTGGTTTAGCTAATGCATAGCATTAAATTGGGCAGGCAAATTCTAAAGCCTTAAGCAAGTATGTGTTGAGTGTATTTATTATCAGACAAACTGTACCAGAGATACTGGAAAAAGTTTGTGTGTCATTAGATCTTTATCAATATATGCTATACAGAATTTACTTTTCTTTTTATTAAAATTTTTATTGCTACCTTTACCATAATAAATAAGATATATATGTTTGATATTGTATTTGAGATGCATGCACAGGCTAAGGATAGGCATAAGTCTGCTGTTGAGCTGGGATTACATAGAATAGGTCAAGCAAAACTATATAGAATATAGCCATAGGTATTATCTCTTCAGACGACATACATACATATGTACTCTACATATACTACCCAATAAAACTGTTAATTTAACGTTAATCAAGCTGCCTTAACTAAGTGTAAGAGTTGAACTTTTTCATAATTTCTATGATC